GTTGTGTGATGCCAATAGATTACTCAAAAAGCTTTATTGAACTAGGTGCCTAGGCCTCTTGTCTAAAAGTAAAGTTTCACTAATCTTAATTTATTCCTTGATACTTTAGATACATCCTTGGATGCCAAATAAGAAATAACAAGATGTTCAATGGTGCATCAAGAATACTGTATAATTCAGAAGAAAAAACAATAATACATGATAAAATTATGCCATAAAGCTTGAATTTATGTAGTTTTGGCCAATTTTGATTGGAAAATACAATTTGCGTAAATCCATTTATTTTCATCCGACAGATTGCTGCTGCTGCTGTTGCTCCTTTTGTTTTTTTGATTGAATGCGATGTACTATACGCTCAAGGATACGCCTAGCCTCACAGTCTGGGAAATTAGTCATATCGTAGTACTGAGGCGCGATTCGAACCAGCCTAAAGTCAGAAAATTTATCTGTAAAGTTGTCTTTCACTTTTAAATACCTATATACTATATGCTATATAAATATATATATAGTCGATAAGCTTGGGTTTTAAAATATGATGTACAATTGTGTAGGAACACAGTTCTTGGAATTAACTTTGTCCAAATAAACTATAAAATTCGCAGGGAAACTTCCATATAATTTTTTACAAGTATTCAAGCGATAAGAATCAATTATATGTGTAAGCGAATAGGCACTCAAAGAAGCAATTGCATTACAATAGAGCTCAAAGTAGACAAATAACGCAATTTGGAGTAAAAAATAAACGTCTAGGGAAAAAATCAACATGAGTACATCCTGATTGCGTCGGTAAATGCTGTCGCGAGGTTCCCACTTACGCAAGTAGGCCTATCTTGACAAGTGAGAGTTGGCCATACTGAATGATGGCCTAAGTGGCAGCAGTATTCTTTAAAGGCAGAGAATTCCAGTTCCACAAGATATAGTGTAATTGGATTTCACAATTATCGCCGTCAACAAAGCTATTGTTGCCAGCATCAGTCCAAAACAATTTACACTTAAACGATTTGCTAATCAGCAATAGTTGTGATTACGTCTAAATATGGCGTAGCAACAAACAACTATGTACGCATCACCAAACGAAGATCAAGCGGACCTTCTGCTAGGAAAACTCCACTTCCTTGCAAAAAACTATGATAAATAGACCACATAGAAACCGCATTCCATTGCCTCGAGACGATTGTGCGCTACGCCATAAATAGGAAATCACATTTTTATAAACTAACTTTCTATCTACTTCTAAAGTAACCAGTTAAATATGAAATTATGTATCGTAGCTTTATTGTTTATCTCTGTATTGCCAGTGTGATTATTCTGACTCAAGAGATTGTATTGCTTAAATCTACCTGGCGATAATGCGATCGGAACTGACGCTCTAGCTGCTCCTATGAAGATATTATAACGAAGGCCCTGAAATGTTAGTTGCCTATAGTGAAATGAAAATAAAAAATAACCGCAATTTTGGTCTCGCTTAGATCCATTCAGCACTATACTAAGATTCAAGATAGGATGGTTTGCGTCAAATCAATATCCCTTTACAATGTTTGAGTACCAGTCACTTTGCTTCATAACGCTTCTTACCTGTATGCAAAATTTTGGTCGTCGCGGATATGGTTAAGAATAAAGCAGTAATAAATACATTTGAGATCGAGGCTTGTTAGATTAAGTGACGGAGAGAGGATGAGAAAACTTCACAGTGAGCACGATCCACTGTAGAATCCTGATGGGGGTAATGATATGACCTATTGATCAACGCTTCAGTAAATTTTTAGAAATGAAGACTAAAACCGTTTTCAGCTGACTCAGAATTGTAGTCATCATTATCTTCTCTAAGCTAGACGATCTTACCTAAATTAGGAGGTGGTTAGCTGCTGACCATTTCCGGATTAGTAACCGTCAGGAGACATGTATCGTTAGTAATTAATTATAGAAGTAGATTGACCTTGTTTTCTCAACTTGGTCGTGTTGCAGTGGGACGCACCTTGTCCGAAATCGTCTGCTATAGTAGTTATCATAGTTTCCACAGTCGGACTGCGGACCTACTCATCGATCTATGCTCTTGGTTTAACTAAATCTAATTAAAAATAAACTTTGGAAATTATTAATTAATATAAAAGCCATTCACTATAGACATACGAAATTAAAAACAAAAACAATCGAAACGAATATATGAAGATCACGATATTGTGGCCTCTGATATGGTCGCAGTCTCGTTTTGATTTATAGAAGTGGGTTGACCTCGTTGTTGCAAGTGGGTCTTGTTGTCAGGGTAACTTAGTAGAACACACCTAGTCTTAAGTCGTCTGCCATAGTAGTTGTCATGAGTCCCGCATCAGACAGTGGACTTGGCACATTCTCATACTTTTCGTCGATATCATAGTCGGCATCATTAGTGAGTTTTGCCATTTCTGTTGCCTTCCAATTGATCTCGTGTTCAGTCTGTCTGACGTGCTCCGCTAGTTCTGATCTTTCGGTATCCATTTTCTTGCAGAGTCTTCGATGTTCCTTGATTCGTGTGCTAATTTTTCTCCCTGTTGCGCCAATATATTTCTGTTCGCTGTGGCGTGGGTTTCAGATGATCATGCTCCTCATTATTTCTATCTTTAGCCTGTAATTGTGATGGGACCGAAAATTGAGTATCACCCCAGCATAGGACTTCTTTCTGAACAATTTTTGAGCGTCCCGTTAAGGCGAATAATTTCAACATCCAGGACGTAATCGCTCACTACCCTGTAATTCCATCGTAAATCGAATTTTTTATCCATCTGGTTTAAACATTTCAGAAACTCTTCCAGTTTTTCTCTTCCATGTGACCAAAGTGCGAAATAATCATTCAGGTACCGCGTGAGCGCTGCTAATGCCATCTTGAAGTTCCCTTCTATTTTGTTCATGTATACGTTTGCCAAAAGTAGTGAGCAGCGAACACATGGGAAGTCCATGGGAGTTCCCATTGAATGTAAAATAGGTTGTCCTTATTGTCAAGTTGGTTAATCTT